AGGCATCGTGGATTGGTTGATTGGTATGTATTGTATTTAAATGTGTGTGTGTTAGGTGTGTGTGTGTGTGATATACAGGCATCGTGGATTGGTTGATTGGCATGTATTGTATTTAAATGTGTGTGTGTGATATACCGGCATCGTGGATTAGTTGATTGGTATGTATTGTATTTAAATGTGTGTGTGTGATATGCAGGCATCGTGGTTTGGTTGGTTTGTATGTATTGTATATAAATGTGTGTGTTAGGTGTGTTGGTGTGATATACAGGCATCGTTGATTGGTAGATTTGTATGTATTGTATTTAAATGTGTGTGTTAGGTGTGTTGGTGTGATATACAGGCATCGTTGATTGGTAGATTTGTATGTATTGTATTTAAATGTGTGTGTGTTAGGTGTGTGTGTGTGATATACAGGCATCGTGGATTGGTTGATTTGTATGTATTGTATTTAAATGTGTGTGTGTGATATACAGGCATCGTGGATTAGTTGATTGGTATGTATTGTATTTAAATGTGTGTGTGTGATATACAGACATCGTGGATTAGTTGATTGGTATGTATTGTATTTAAATGTGTGTGTTATATACAGGCATCGTGGATTGGTTGATTGGTATGTTTTGTATTTAAATATGTGTGTGTGTGATATACAGGCATCGTGGATTGGTTGATTAGTATGTTTTGTATTTAAATATGTGAATGTGTTAGGTGTGTGTGTGTGATATACAGGCATCGTTGATTGGTTGATTGGTATGCTTTGTATTTAAGTGTATGTATGCGTACGAATGAATTGACAACTGACCGTCGGAATAGCACCTGGCTGTTCCACCTGTAAGGTGTGGCGCTAAGTCACAGACTGTTTAATCAGGTGTATGTGTGCGGCATTGTACGTGGTATGTATATATATGTGTGTGCGTGTGTGCGTAGAATAATATCCCAGACAGGCCACACGAACAACTTATAGACGATCTACCTAGCAGATGCTGCCCAGAGCCATGGATTGTTTAGGCGTCTGATATGCATTCGTAGTATATATGTGTACATGTGCGAATGTGATGTATAATCGTAGTATTCATACGTGTATAGGTACATGAGCATCTATTTACGTATTATGGCACCATGTGTGTATATATGCGTAGATGATGTAAGCGTATTGTCCATATCTACGTATTATGGTATCATGTATATGAGCATCCATTTATGTATTATGTATGAGAATCCATTCACGTATTATGTATGAGAATCCGTTTACGTATCATGGTATCATGTGTGTATATATGCGATATGATGCAAGTGTATTGCCCATGAGTATTTACGTATTATGATACCATGTGTGTATATATGCGTATATGGTGCAAGTGTATTGCCCATGAGTATTTACGTATTATGATATCATATGTGTATATATGCGCATATGATGCAAGTGTGTTGTCCATGAGTGTATCCGTAAGTGTAGCTGCTTGTGCGTGATTCTTCATTTGTGTTTGCTCATGTGCGTATCGTTACATTCTCAACGTCTCACTTCCAATAAAAAGCCAAATCCTTTCTTATTTACGCATATACGTGTATGACCATATGTCGCCTATATTTTATACTCACAACTAAGATGTATGTAATTTGTTTCAGCGTTCTAATGGAGTAAGCTCAAATATACCTGAATCGTCGGACGATTCGGAGGTTGCCGCGCTGGGAGTTCAGGTATGAGTCTGCTCGCATGGTACGTGTTATTCGGTATATATACTTCTGAGAATTAATCGCTTTATATATATATATAAATGTATATATATTTATATTTATATACCATCACGTTGTGTGAATAATATAGCTGAGAGACATTCTGCTTTTTATGTGGCGGACAGGTTTGCTCAATCGGACTTATCCAAAACCGCTAAGTTGATTAAAGTTTAGCAGAAGGATTACTGTAGTGCCTGTAGGTGACCAATAAGACTTATCAAGCACAATGAAAATTGATACTTATAGTGTAGGTATTTAAATAGTCGTTAGATATTTATATAAGGCTAGTGTCTAGAAGACAATTATTCAAGTATCTCCAATCAAACGGCGATGCCGACGATTGGGGGATTGGCATGTGTAGGTAGATAAATGTATGCAGAATTGCGCAGGTAGAGTCAAGAGCATCAACACGGTTTACATTCTACATAGTACTTAGTTTTTCACATCGCAAATATACAAGGTCGAATCTGAGTGGAATGGACCGTCGTTTTCGACTCTCAACGTGTACACCCACTGAACCCCTTTTACCCACCACACTCTGTTGTGAGAAGAGAAGACTTGCTTGTATTCATTGCGTACTTTTCTGCAACGTAAGACTTGCTTGTATTCATTCCGTGTTTCACTCACTCGTACTTTTCTGCAACGTTTTGCGTCGAGCAGCTGGATCAAAACTTGGCCACGCGCAATATCTCGTCACCGTTACCACAGGTATAGGGTTTGTTTACTGCAGCCTTCAAACGCTTTGTTACGCATCTGGTACCATCTTTCGGTATAGGTACGATTGTATCCGTTAGTTGCATCGATGGGTATTAGTACTATCTTCGCATGTACATATCTTGTATGTCGGACTAAGCATCCAGAAGCCATTTCACCTTACAATGCATATATACCCATGCAAAAGTAGTATGCATAGCGAAGCATGTGTCATGCTTGTACGCATATATTTTCTTACGCACACACATGCTAGAGACCATGTCAGATGTTTTATAAATTCAACTAACTATACCTATTACACCCTCATCGCCCCGGAGTGCCCAAATTATATAAGGAATTTACAGACACATACACACAATAAATACACATTTATATATACGTATATATGTATGTATGTATGTATATATATATATGTGTGTGTGTTTCTTCGTTTCTGTGTTTATATATATATATACTCATTGCTAACTATTACAATTACAATACTTTCACAGCCTGAGCAGAGCAATGCACAACGTGTGGCTTCGATACCCGCTCGACCCCCCGCACCCGCTAGACCCACACCGCCACAGAGAGCTCAAAACAATGCCACGCCTAATAGTGATGTGGTTACGACAGGCATGCAAGCTACACAGCCACTGCCGCCTGGGTGGGAGATGCGCGTATCAGGCAGCGGACAACCGTAAGTGTAGGATTGTTGGGGTGTGTCGGAATGTGTCGCCAAATACCGCGCCGCCATTCCGCGTGGTGTAACCACTGAGAATAGGCACAATCAGTGATAGGGTTAAAGTGGAGTGGTGATGTACTCTTTATGCTGAACCCAGCATGCTGATACTTTTGATTTAACTTCTCAAACCATCACAGGTACTTTGTCAATCATCTGGAGAGACGAACACAGTGGGTGGATCCCAGGTCAGAAATGGCCCAAATGCCTCTGCCCCGGGGCTGGGCCCAGGGTGTCACCAATGAGGGCAGGTGAGCGTGCATTTGCACTACACTGTTCACGAATCACTTGCACAAGTAGGGTGCTGACTGTTACAGGCGTGTTCGTTTGCATAAGTAGGGTGGTAACTGTTACAGGCGTGTTCGTTTGCACAAGTAGGGTGCTAACTGTTACAGGCGTGCTCGTTTGCATAAGTAGGGTGGTAACTGTTACAGGCGTGTTCGTTTGCATAAGTAGGGTGGTAACTGTTACAGGCGTGTTTGTTTGCATTAGTAGGGTGCTGACTGTTACAGGCGTGTAGAATGATTCGTCTCAGTGGCTTTGGCCTCGGGTGAGAGTGTTACCAATGTGGATGAGCGCGTATTTTCCGATACTATACACTTGTGTGCTGCCTGTATGTTTGGTCTGGGGACTTTGTAGTGCAGCGTACGTGTACCTTTCTGCTTGAACGATTAATAGGAGTGGCCGGTTCTATTTTACACGCACACACCACCCATCACACACCACCCATCACACACCACCCATCACACAACACACACACACACACACGAATGGTACAGTTCTTATCATCTTACGCAAGCGATCCTTGAACTTTACTTTGTACCACCCACTTCTTTCTTGCCAGGTTAGTTATTAAGGCTAGTCAGGCTCAACTATTGACCATATACCACCCACTCCCTTCTTGCCAAGTTAGTTGTTAGGGCTAGTCAGGCTCAACTATTGACCATATACCACCCACTCCTTTCATACCAGGTTTTAGTTGTTAGGGCTAGTCAAGCTCAACTATTGACCATATACCACCCACTCCTTTCTTGCCAGGTGAGTTATTAGGGCTAGTCAGGCTCAACTATTGACCATACCACCCACTCCTTTCATACCAGGTTAAGTTGTTAGGGCCAGTCAGGCTCAACTATTGACCATATACCACCCACTCCTTTCATACCAGGTTAGTTGTTAGGGCTAGTCAGGCTCAACTATTGACCATATACTGCCCACTCCTTTCGCCACCGCAGAGTGTACTTCATCGACCACAACACGCGCACCACAACCTTCGAAGATCCACGAACCAATCGTGTGTACCAGAAAGAGTACGAGAGTTCCATCCCTGGTACGTCCCATTCCAGCACAGTTCCAGTTACGCATGGAGTGTACGTGCATACGCTAAACAGGTGGAACAGTTAGCATACATCTCTCACCGAGCATGCAGCATTGATATCTTTCATGAGACTGGAGAATGGGCATCTCTGTTAGAGGAACCCGGATTTGATAGCTCGTAGATGGTAGTTGTTGTTGTTTTGTATGGTAAGCTGGTGGTGTGCACAGATGCGGCAGGTAGTAGCAGGAGTGTTGTCTCCCGCTAACTCGCTCGACATCATAGATGCCCGACTGTGCACACTCTCTGTTTCTGTCCATACGTGCCTATTGGGTTCTATAGAGATGGTAATCGTTTGCTTACCGTCTAGTACAGTAGTGTATAACAATACGTTTCGGTGTATTTATCCACAGACATACACGTGGAAATTATTTTAAGAGGGGGGGAGTCTACCAGAAAGCTCCCGAGACTTTATCGCTCGTGTATCGACTCGGCATAGCTAGAAATATGCGTGTACACGCACACATGCAGCTACGCATGTATTAAGAAATATACATGCACACGCACACATGTAGCTACGCTTGCATTAACAAGGCGTGGGGGATTTGCTTGCCTATAAACTTGTCGACTTATAATATCTTGTACCATCCTTTTATTTGGGTACTGTTATATCGTTATCACTTATCTCAATATGGCCTATAAACTTGTCGACTTATAATATCTTGTACCATCCTTTTATTTGGGTAATGTTATATCGTTATCACTTATCTCAATATGGCCTATAAACTCACAACCAGTATCCACTGGCTCTTTCAGTATATCAGGGAACGTTCCAGTCGTAGTTGGGCACGTTTTAGACAGCCGTTGAGGAAAATCACACACATGATAATAGTATTGTCACACAAAACAACCCAAATTTGAGAATTTGAGGCAAAATTGGACAGCCCTTGGAAAGCTTACACCTGACAAATACTGATTGTTCCAGAATACCAACGCAATTTCAAGTCGAAATTGGGCAAATTCCGCCAATACCAAGTGGTGACGCCGCGGGTGGAGTGTCCCATACAGGTCTCTCGCGACAACCTGTTTGAGGACAGTTTCAATCAGATCATGCATACCCCTCCCAAGCTCTTCAAAGGACGGCTTATTGTGAACTTTAAGGATGAGAAGGGCCTGGACTATGGCGGTTTGCAGAAGTATGTTGTTGTACCTGTTATTGTGTGTGAGTATGTGCACTCTTATGTTGTCTGTGTGTGGGGTGTGTGGTTTATTATATGCACATCTCGCACGTGTGTACATGCACGCCAATTTTCACAAGGGTTACTATTGTTGATGTGAGGCCAAGGAGCGTGTGTGACTATTTGCGGTGGGTACTTGTATATGTATGTGTGTGTTAGTGATATCAATATATATATATATACTTTCATATATTTTTAGATCTACAACGTTAGCACAATACCAGATGTTTCAGTATCTGTCCATCGTATGATAAGTTGATTGTCCTGCGTCTTTATAGTCACGGATGAGTATGGATGCCAATTATATTGAATTCGCATTTTAATTCACTGTTAGATCACTCCCGGTATTTATTTATTTATTTATTTATTGTACTTTTGTTCATATCCATAAGTTTTGCTATATCGGGCAAGCTCATATAGTGACTCTTTGGTTGTTGGAAACGACACTCGAAAATAAACTAAGGCATTATGCACTCTGTCAAATGCAAAGCTGGGCCCAAAAGCCCCAATTCTAACCCCCAAAATATCCACGTTTTGCCCTTTTACGTCGCAGAGAATGGTTTTTCTTACTCTCCAATGAGATGGTGAACCCAAATTACTGTCTGTTCGAGTACGCCAACGATGACCACACCACCATTGCAATCAATTCAGAGTCTGGTATCAATCCCGAGCATTTGGATGTATGTCTATTGTTAACATGGGCTCAGGCTGTGTGTGTGTTTGTTAATGCCTTATTGTTTTATGTATTTTATATATATATATATATGTGTGTGTGTGTGTGTGTGTGTGTGTATGTATATGTATATGTACTGCACATGTACATTTAGGAATGTATATGTATGAGCATTTGGAAGTAAACGCAGTCATGTCATAGACTCAATGGGATTCAGGCTTGCAATACATACCTGACCTGGCAGATTTAGGGTGTGCGTGTACTTCTGCCCCATGCCAATCTACGAGCAAGAGACTCGATCATGCCCGTGCGCTGTGATCAACGTATACAGCATTCTATTCTAACTAGAGTCCCACCCACCCCACCTAACCTATTCTACTACGCGTGATATGCTCAAGTTTGAATGACAACCACCTCATAAGACGTAGACAGCCGGATCTACACCTGGTAGTGTTTGCTCTCACCCCCTTTCCTTTCCAGCCCATTTCTTTTCCAGCCCATTTCGTCTCCAGCCCATTCCTTTTCCAACCCATTTCTCGCAGTATTTCCGCTTTATCGGCCGAGTGATTGGTTTGGCTATCTTCCACGGACGGTTCATCGACATTGGTTTTACGCTGCCGTTGTACAAACAAATGCTCAACAAACCACTGACGATGAATGATTTGGAGCAGAGCGATCCCGAATTCCACAAGAATTTACAATGGATGCTGTATGTGCATGTGAGCGTGTGGATGACCCAATACCTGATATAGCATTGTACAGATGCTGTATGTGCATGTGAGGCATGTGGATGACCCAATACCTAATATAACATATGAACAGGTGCTGTATGTGCATGTGAGCGTATGGATGACCCAATACCTGATATAGCATTGTACAGATGCTGTATGTGCATGTGAGGCATGTGGATGACCCAATACCTAATATAACATATGTACAGGTGCTGTATGTGCATGTGAGCGTATGGATGACCCAATACCTGGTATAGCATATGTACAGATGCTGTATGTGCATGTGAGCGTGTGGATGACCCAATACCTCATATCTCGTGCACACGTGAACATATTTACAGAGTATATGTGCCAAGACCCATAAACACACCTTAGCATGCACACACGTATATTATGAGACCCATAGCCACCCCTTAGCCTACACACGCGTATATATAACCACACCTTAGCCTACACACGCGTATATATAATCACCCCTTAGCATGCACACATGTATATTATGAGACCCATAAACACACCTTAGCATGCACACACGTATATTATGAAACCTATAGCCACCCCTTAGCCTACACACGCGTATACATAACCACCCCTTAACATGCACACACGTATATTATGAGACCCATATCGACCCCTTAGCATACACACGCGAATATATAACCACCCCTTAACATGCACACGCGAATATATAACCACCCCTTAGCATACACACACGTACATTGCAATACGTGGCGATGTAGTCACTGCATTGCGACCCTTCTATCCCCTACCGTCCCCAGAGATAACGAGATCAAGGATGTGCTGGACTTGACCTTTTCCGTCGACTACCAAAGGTTTGGACAGCTGGTGTCTCACGATTTGAAGGAGAATGGCTCGGAAATCGAAGTCACGGACGACAACAAGGCTGAATACGTGCAGTATGTGCTGTGGTAGTTGTGCAATGTAGATGTGTTGATGTTAACATGTGCAGTATGTGTTGAAATTTTGCAATGGAGATGTGTTGTTATTGATACGTGCAGTATGTGCCGTGTTCGTTTTATAATGTAGATGTTTTGTTGTGTGGTTGGCATTCGTCGATAACTCCACTTTGACCGGATGCATGGACGTGTACACCCGTGTGATGTTGTTAATGTTTGGGTTTATTTTCAGGTGTGTTCGTTCTGGTTGCTTGATAGATAGTTAGTTAGATCGCATGGTTTAGCCACTTGTGGTACACTGACTGGGAGAGTAATCGAAAACTAAGGCACGAACACACATAGTACCGAGATAGTTCGGTATGAACACACATAGTACCGGGATAGTTCGGTACCGAAGTCTCCATCTCTAGGTTTACCGCACGGACGGTCACAAGTAGAGTATGAATATGCATCACCTGCATGTATAGTTAGAACGACCTAGTCCAGAATCCGAATGCTTGATCCTAACCCATCCCCTCCATGCCTCATCCCTCCCATTTGGTACCGAACTCACGTGGTTGGTTTCTTTCACCTACTGTTCAGGCTCGTCGTCAAGTGGCGGTTAACGCGCGGTATCTCGGAACAGTGGGAGGCTCTGAAATCAGGAATCAGCGACGTCATCAACATAGACCAACTGTGTATATTCGATGAGAAGGAGCTAGAGGTGCTCATCTGTGGGGTGAATGAGATAGACGTGTCTGATTGGGAGGATAATACCATATATAAGAACTACTCTCCGGACTCGCAACCTATCAAGTGGCTGTGGGAGGTAGGCTTATGAGTATACTTGTGGTCTGTATTTATTTGATGTGCTATAGTTGTAGTAAGTAGGTACAGATGAACGTGTCTGGTTGAAAATATAGCAGTGACTCTCCGGATACACAACCAATCAAATGGCGTGGGATGTAGGCTCTGAGACGATATATATGTATGTATGTATGCATCCATGCATATATATATATATATATATATAATATTTGTATATATCGGATTATACACTCAGTATAGCAGTTCTGAGATCTGACTTCTAATACTAGTTTTACATAGAGATATCTGTAAACTAAGACTTTCGAAGTATAGTTTACATTTATATATCCAACTAATTTAATACGATGAATACGGGAAACTTCACACACCCTTTCATACTCACACAATATGTCGTATCGAAGTGTCCTTGTCTGCACTCCGAACCGTATCTTATCTCTCCCAACACTGTCTCTGGCTTACACTCACCTATACGTCTCTGGTTTACACTCACCTGTACGTCTCTGGTTTACACTCACCTGTACATATCTGGTTTACACTCACCTGTACGTCTCTGGTTTACACTCACCTGTACATATCTGGTTTACACTCACCTGTACATATCTGGTTTACACTCACCTGTACGTCTCTGGTTTACACCCACCTGCACGACGCAGATACTTCAAGAATGGGACAACGAAAAGCGGGTGCGCTTCCTGCAGTTTGTGACGGGCACCTGCCGCGTGCCGCTGGGAGGGTTCAGGGATTTGCAAGGGAGCACGGGAATACAGTTGTTCTGTGTAGAACGCATTGGCACGCCGGAGTGGCTGCCACGAAGTCATACGTGGTATGTATATCGTTGTAGTATGTATATTTGTATCTTCATCTATATATGTATATGTATATATTATGATGTCTGTGTCCGTGCCTGCGTCTGCGTATGTATCCCGTATACTTATATAATTAATATTATTATATTATAATATTATTGTGCGTCTGCATCTTTGTGCGTCTGTGTATGTATCCTGTCATGTGTACGTTCGGTATTATACTCTATATCTTTCTCAAACCATCAGTTGTAAACTGTATTCTGGTATGTTCTGAGGTGTCCGTACATGATCACGAATGTCCCCTATGCCTAGACAGTGTACTGAGCTGGAATTGTGTATGTGTACTCTCCATCACACAGCTTCAATCGACTGGACTTGCCACCGTACGAGAGCAAAGAACAAATGTCAATGAAGTTAGCACTGGCTGTGGAGGAGACGGAGGGCTTTGCGAATGAGTAAATGAGTAATGGAGTAAATACGTGGATTAGATCTGTGGAATGGAGCAGTTGGGTCGAGGGGTGTGGGAATTGGGAGTGGGTGCAGACTGCCGTTAACAGTGCCAATTCCAATGGAGCAGATAGCCATTTTACAACCAAACCCAAAACAAAAAATGTCAACAAATTGCAGAGGCAGGGAGGTCACACACACGCACAGATGCACTCCACATACCCCGTAGATGAAGTTACACAGAAGCACTCCACATACCCCCTATGTGGATGAAATTACACAAAAGCACTCCAAATACCACGTATGTAGATGAGGTTACACAAAAGCACTCCACATACCACGTATGTAGATGAAGTTCGTCCCCCACATATGTGACCTGCCCTCTCCAACACATACATTCACCCATTATATATATATGTATATACATAAATATATATATATTTAACCACCCCACACCCACCGCATCTCTAGACTCTTATACTCAAACCCCACACGTAGACGCATGTACTCCCCCTCTGCATCTCATACCGTTTAATCTGTAAGATCACATACGGTAGAGCTCGCCATGTGCGCGTGTACGTATATAATCACGTCTAGTTGTCTCCACAAGCCCAGTCCCATCCATAGGAGCGGTTCCCTCGGTATACTCGAGAGAGCCCCCGCATACGCGCCTGCCGCAGTTGGTAACTCAGTTGGTAACTGGGTTGAGACATAGTTAATCACACAGACCCATCGCCGTAGTGTTCCTGCCTGATCACTCACCTCTGACGCGAGAGAAGCACGCAGTGTGCACAGGCACTGATTTGCGCAGTCTGTGATTTCGATGGGCGTGTGGGCCACATGAGTTGGTCCTGACCTCGGCCAATGGGGTGCCAGATTCTCCCGGGAGTGGTAACTGTTTGTTCTACAATGGGGGCCAATACCTTCCAATATGGGGGTCTAATTGTCAAGTGGTGCCAATTTTTCTATTGGTGGCACCGGGTTCGGCTATACATGGTGTATATGGCAGGGAGCTTTGGGCCATGGTCCTGGAAGTGTATCAGCAGTGCTGGACTGTGCGGCGGTTGCTGAATACAGGTTTATTGGCACAGTCTCCCTAGATAACAAGTGTATACATGTTATTCGCACGCTCTCCCAAAATAATAAGTGTATACAGGTTATTCGCACGCTCTCCCAAGATAACAAGTGTAAATAGCAGTTGAGCCGGAAGTGCCAGACGTCTGTTCAGCGACCGATTAAAAGTTAGTTAGTTCTTAGTTGTGTGTCTTAGATTATTCGGATGGCCTCATATCCGAAGTATTTTCTTTTATTATAACCTTGAAGATTAGTTGCGAATGCAGTGTGGTGACACTTAGCTCATGCTCAATCGATACCTACTTCTCCACTTCCGAATACTTGGTTGTGACAATTGATCGACGTATGTGCATAATCTTTCATGCATGTGTGTTTCCGAAAAATTATCCCTCGGTAAGTTTCGTATATGTACATATATATATATATGTATATATATACTCTTGGATCTTCCGACACTGCTGTTTCCGATTGTGCATTGTTGATATATGCATATATATATAGTTTCATATTAAAATGTCGAATTGCATCTGGGGCTCTGTTCGGGATTTCTTTCAGCGAAATGTAATTAGTCCTTCTCCGGTAGAAACCGTATAACCTGATTGGCAACGAGGGAATTGACGAGTGGACATTGTTCGAAGAAGATCTATGTTCATTGTAATTGCGATCAATATTCATTTGAATGCTGTGCTGTTTATATTCGTTCAGAAGCAATTGGAAAGTATATGAGTTCTGGACGTCTGAGTCGAACACCTACAGCAGTAGTTGTATTGTATACCTTCAGAAATGGTGCTTGTACAGTGTTTATAATCAAATCATATTTATTTTAGTTTTAATCTAGTTTACGTCGCGTGTTCTGTTGTCGTCTATAAAGGGATACTTATCCACAAGTACATCCGTTATGTCTACTGTAAGTCGCACTGGTGAATTATTCCTTTGTCGACTATTGACGGCTCTCGATGTCTTCGTATAAGTCAGTGATCTGATCCTGGTACTTCTTGGTTGCGTTCACGCGCTTCAGCTTGAAGGTGGGTGTAAGCAGTTCATTGTCAATACTGAAAGCCTCAGGCTCTACGATGAAGTCTCGGAGCTTTTCGAAACCTTTGAGCTTACATTCCTTGTGCATGTCAAGTACCTCCGCAGCCAGCATGGCCTTCAACTCGGCTGTTTGAGCAATACTCTTAGCATCGCCTGAGATGTTGTTTTCCTTAGCCCAGGCAATAATCATCTCGGCATCGGGTACAACCACGGCCACAGGGTATGCGTGGAATGAGTCACCGGTTACAAACACCTGCGCAATATGGTCGCACTTGCCGTACATGGCCTCGAGGTTCTCAGCGGCCAAATACTCGCCCTGGGACAGCTTGAATATAGACTTCTGGCGATCAATGATGGACAAGGTGCCGTCGGCATTCCAACGGCCCACATCACCAGTGTGGAACCAGCCCTCATCATCGATATCTTCCTTCGTCTTCTCGGGATTTTTCAAGTACGAACCAAACACATTGGTACCCCTGACGCACACTTCACCACGAGGACACTCATCAGTAGTCAAGTAGTTCATCTCGGGAATACTGACAAGCTTCACTTCATTGGAGGCCATCGGTGATCCCACATGACCGAGTTTCATATCGTTGTAATGGGTGAGAGTAGCACCTGCTGTTGTCTCGGTCAAGCCATAGCCCACCATGATAACTGGGCACACACAGACTCGTAGAAACTCGTGGATAGCCGTCCCTAAAGGCGCTGACCCGGTGAGGATCCATTTGACACGTCCACCAAGTGCCAAGCCCATGCGATCAAAGACCTTCTCATTGAGCATAGGGGTGTCCTCTCCACGCTCCAACTCTGCGAGACGCATGTCATATGCGCCCCTGAAAGCAGCTTCCTTCTCAGGACCACCAGCCTTAACACCTTGGTTGATCTTGTCGTAGATGCGTGAAAGAATACGAGGCACGGCAATGAAGAAAGTAGGCTTCAAGGTCTGGATATCCAGCATCAGCTCGGGTAGTTTTCCTTGATAGAAACCTATGCTACATCCCCGGCTAACGCATAGCGCTTGTATCACTCGTTCAAAGATGTGAGCCAAGGGAAGGAACGAAAAGTGCACATCTTGGTTACTTACATGCAAACGTTTCTGAAGGGAAACTACATCCGCCATCAAGTTGTTGTGGGTGATTTGCACACCTTTAGGGTTTCCTGTAGTGCCTGATGTGTACATGAGTACCGCAACATCCGATGCTGTGGGAGGATCGTGTTGGAACACATTCGCCACGCCCATATTTTTTAGTTCGCACAAGTTGAGTAGCTCGACACCAGCTTTCGTGAATCTAGCCTTGTCCTCAGATGTGACAACATCGAAGCAAATGGCGTACTTGAGATCTGGTAGACCCTTTCCAATGGCTGTAAGAACGGACTCAAGACGAATTTTCTCGAAGAAAGCAGCCACCATCTCGCTATGCTCCATAACGTAATGTACAGAATCAGGACCAAGTGTATCGTAGATTGCCACTGATGGCAGTGTGTATGACGACAAAGCGTGATCCGTCAACGTCCATTCCATTCGATTTTTGGAGTATAATCCAACGGTCTGGTTTTTCCTAATGCCTAGGCTTTTTAGTCCAGAGCCGATCAGCGTAGCAGTCTCGCTTGCCTCTTTAAAATTCACGAATTCGTAATCTCCGACGCTTGTGCTACCATCATCATTGTGCACAACCTTGCGTTCGCCTAGATATGATCGGTCAGGATTCTCGGCAACTGTAGTTTGGAAGCTCTCGTATGTGGTGCAACGACCAGGTGTGTCAGCTAGTAACTGAGCGGGCCACGTGGCTTCACCGTCCACATAGTTTGGAAAACGATGAGCAGACGATCCCCAGTCAGCACCTGGTGCAACAACGCTTTGCATCTTTAAATCTGTGTTCAGAGGGTTAGGAAAGCAAGACTGCTTCTCTTGGGGTACTACTTGCATGCTAACCATATTTGCACGATTCGTTTTTGTTTTGATTGTTGTCGTGTAGTATAAATTTTAAATTGATATTTCGCCGAACGATAGAAGCCTTTAAATACTAAAGGTATCACATTGTAGTTATTAAAAATTCAGATTTGCTAACACAATGTGCTTGTCATACCTTGAAATTTCATTTCCGCTTTGCGGCAGTGCCAACTGCCAAGAGTGTGACGTTTCTAGTTTCAAATTGTCAGTTTGAGCTACATACAAGTCTACACTCTACACTCTACATCAACCGCTACCGTATGTAGCCTGTAGATCGGTTTTTTCTGCTGCAACAAGCGATTTCTCGGCTATCAAAACCGTCTCCATTCCTATTGGTCATTAGATGCTGATACAAAATATTGTTTTTTCAAAGAGCGAACACTCTGAAACTCCGAGAGTCCAAGTCCAAACCGGGAATCCGGGATATTCGGCGGAGTTCAACAGTTGTATTTTTTTTTGTGGATCCGGAATTCCGAAGGTTTCAATGAATGGTTGAATACCACCCGATTGGCGATTCGCGATATATTTCAAAATTTTCGTGAAAATGATTTGTTTCGTTTAGTGAGTCACAGGACACAGAGTCAGACAGAGTGTCAGACTAAGTCAGCAAAGTCAGTGTGAGTGAACACTGAACACTGAATACTAAACGGTACATACAGTGTGGATTGAATTTACAGTTGTATGTTTTTTTCTTAGCGCTCCAAACGCTCCGAGCCCTACGCGCGATTGGTTTATGCATTTAATATAGAGCTACATATACGCGACGTCAATGTAAGCAAATATCTGCGCATTAATCATTTTGGCTACAAACGTCTGCTTTCTGATATTTAAGCGCTCACCAGGTCATTATGATGCCCAGAATATACTTTAAAATAGTTTACATTGGCATAATCAACTAAACGAATATTTAAAATGTTACTCTCAAAGTCTCTTCGATCTCTCCCGGCTTCTACTAAGCAGATCTACGACTATGTGGTTGTTGGTGGCGGAAGTGCCGGCTGTGTAATGGCCAATCGCCTCTCATCGAACCCCAATGTACGAGTGGCTTTACTAGAGACAGGCTCAGATGATAACACACCGCTCATCCGCAACCCAAGTGGGTTTTTCTGGACCGTTCCCTACAGTAAAAAGTACAACCATCGGTACTGGACAACACCTCAGAAGAACTGTAATGGTAGGAACATGTTCCAGCCTCGTGGTCGCGGAGTCGGCGGTTCCTCTGCGATTAACGCTATGGTATATATTCGCGGCTTGAAATATGACTTCACCAACTTGTGGGCTGAGGAGAATAAATGCAACGGTTGGGAATGGGAGAATGTGCTACCCATTTTCAAGGAATTGGAGAATAATGATACGCTCAAAAATAACCCATACCACGGTAATGAAGGTCCTCTTCATGTGCGGACGCAGAATCACATTGGCCTATACAGTAAGCGCATTGTCAAAGCAGGCAACGAGCTGGGATGGAAAACAACCGATGACTTTAATGGAGCAGACCAGTCTGGAGTAGGATATTATCAATACACACAGACCAAGGGTGGGCGCTGCAGCACTGGTGTTGCCTTTCTGACCCCAGAGGTCCGAGCTCGCCCAAATCTGGATGTTATTGTTGATGCTCATACCACAAAGGTACTCACAGAAGGCAAACGGGCGACTGGAGTGCATGCAGTGGTATCAGGCAGCTCAGATTCTGCTAACCCCGTAACATTCGAAGCAAAAAACGATGTTGTCCTGTGCGGTGGTGCATTTAACAGTCCACAGTTACTGATGCTCTCAGGAATTGGCCCTAAGGACCAGCTTACTAAGCACGGAATTGATCTAGTACATGAATTGCCAGGAGTGGGCCAGAATCTTCAGGATCATGCCGACATCTGCGTGAATGCAAAAACTTCGAGAATAAGTATGCCACTGCAAATCGGGCTAACCAACCTACCAAGTCAGATCAAGCACTTCTTCCTAGGTCTTTTCAAGAAAGAAGGAGTGTTCATGGGAGACAATCAAATGGTCGGTTCATTCTTTAAAAGCAAGCCTGGCATTCCCGCTAATGATATACAAATGCATGTCGCACCCTTCTACTACAAAGATCATGGTGCCACTTTAAGATACGGTGGTGGCATCTCGGTCAAATCGTGCTATATGCGGCCCGAGTCTCGCGGGACGGTTGGTCTGAATTCGGCTGACCCAATGGAGGGGCCACTGATTGACCCCAACTACTACGATGTGCCCGCCGACTTTGACCCCATGGTGGCTGCAGTACGAAAAAGCATCGAGCTGATTCAAACCAAGACTCTAGCAGAAGATAACCTGGTGGTTAGTGGATTTGGCGATAAGGATGTTAACAACCTTACCGACAGCGACATCAAGGAGTATCTGCGTGAAAATACT